GATATCCTAGGCATTAATTAGCTGAAATGGACTGGTATTAGCCATTTTGAATCTGACAATCACATGGTTTACTATGCCAGAAAGGGCAAATTGAAGAAGAATGGCATCACATTCATCATCAAAAAGAACATTTCAAGATCTGTCTTGAAGTATAACGCTGTCTGTGATAGGGTAATATCCATACACTTACAAGGAATATCAGTTAATATAACTATTATTCAAATTTATACATGAACCACTAAAGCCAGTTATGATGAAATTGAAGAATTCTACCAGCTTCTTCAGTCTGAAACACATCAAACATGCGATCAAGATGTATTGATAATTACTGGCTATTGGAATGGAAAAGCTGGACAAATGAGGAAGGATCAGTAGTTGGAAAATATGACCTTGGTGACAGAAATGATGCTGGAATAGATGGAATTTTGTAAGACCAATGACTTCTTCGTTGCAAATACCTTTTTAAAACAACATAAAATGTGACTGTACACATGGACCTTACAGGAGGGAATACACAGAAATCAAATTGACTACATCTATGGAAAAGCCAGGGGCAGACTGTGGAACAGACCATCAGTTGTTCATATGCAAGTTCAGGCTGAAGCTGAAGAGAATTAAAACAAACCTGTAAGAGCCAAAGTAGGACCTTGAACTTATCCTGTCTGAATTTGAAGATCATCTTAAGAACAGATTTTGTGAATTAGACACTAATAACCCAAGACAAGAAAAGTTGTGGGATGACATCAAGAACATCATATAGGAATAAAGCAAAAGGTCATTAAAAAGACAAGAAAGAAGAAAAACAACATAATGGATGTTGGAATCAACTTGGAAACTTGCTCCCCAGCTAAGAGATGCTAAAGGAAATGGAAGAAATGAGGCGGTCAAAGAGCTGAACAGAAAATTTCAAAGGTCAGCTTGAGAAAGCAAAGTCATAGAATGCAATGCACAAAGACTTGGAGATAGAAAACCGAAAGGTAAAAACAGCATTTCTCAAGCTGAGTGACCTGAAAAAAAATGTAAGCCTCACTTTGTAGAAGTGAAGAATTCTGTGGGCAAAATCGAATGATGCAGAAAGCATCAAAAGAAGATTGGAGGAATACAGAGAGTCACTGTACCAAAAAGAAATGGTCAGTGTTCAACCATTTCAAGAGGTAGCATATGATCAAGAACCAATGATACTAACAGAAGAAGCCCAAGGTGCAATAAAGTCACTGGCAAAGAACAAGGCACCAAGAAGTGATGGAATACAAATTGAAATCCTTCAACAAACTGATGCAGCACGGGAGGCACTCACATATCTATGCTAAGAAATTTGGAAAACAGCTACCTGGCCAACTGACTGGAAGAGATCCATATTTGTGCCCATTCCAAAGAGAGTTAACCTAACAGAATGTGGAAATCATCAAGCAATATCATTAACATTACATGCAAGTAAAATTTTGCTAAAGATATACAAAAACAGCTGCAAGTATACATTGACAGAGAACTGCCAGAGGCTCAAGCCAGATTCAGAAGAGGACGTGGAATGAGGGATATCATTGCTGACGTCAGATGAATCTTGGCTGAAAGCAGAGATTACCGGAAAGATGTTTACCTGTGCCTTATTGACTATGCAATGGCTTGTGATTGTGCGGATCATTAAAATCTATGGACAACATTGTGGAGAATGAGTATTCCTGGACACTTAATTGTGCTTAAATGAGGACCCTGTACATAGATCAAGAGGCTGTAAGTAACAGAACAAGAGGACACTTAATGGTTTAAAATTACGAAAGGTGTGTGCCAGGGTTGTATTCTTT